GTGTGTGTGTGTGTGTGTGTGTGTGTGTGTGTGTGTGTGAGAGAGAGAGAGAGAGAGAGAGAGAGAGAGAGAGAGAGAGAGAGAGAGAGAGAGAGATTTGGGGGACTCATGTCTGAGATTATTGTTTGGGAAGAGAAGCTTCAACAGGAAGCTTGACTGACAGACCCTTGGGGGACAAGAAAGACCGCATACCTTTTATTTTTGTAAGTGTAAAGTACCCCTTTAAGGACAGGATTTAGGGCCTTGAAATTCTACTGGGCTGCTATGAACTGTGGGGAATTCGAGACAAATAGCTTTCGTAATTGGAATGCACGCTGTGTTGTAATAATGTGCAAAGAGAAACACAAACTTTCCTTAATGTAACGAGTTTCCATTATCTCTCGGATCTGAAATTTGTGAGTCCTGAGTCCCACATTGTTGGGATTTCAACTGGGTACTTTTAGACCAGGAACGCAGGGGGTGTTGTTGGCCATACACAAGGCCTGAACTTTCTCCTCAGCCTCTTCCTTTCTCTTCCTGTCACATCAAAAGCTTTGCTGGCCTTTCTTTCTACCTCAGTGTTCTTTCTCTCTCTCTCTCTCTGGCTCTGTGTGTGTGTGTGTGTGTGTCTGTCTGTCTGTCTGTATCTCTCTGTTTTTGTGTATCTCTCTGTCTGTGTGTGTGTGTGTGTCTGTTTCTGTGTCCTTCTGTCTTTCTGTCTCTCTCTCTCTTTCTCTCTGCCACTCCAAAACCACCTCCCACAGCACACTGAGTGGACGCTTTCAGCTAGGTCTTCCTTCTGTAGAGCCTTTCTCATTGTTCTCTTCAAAGACAGATGAACTTTGAGATTGCTCAAGGACCCTTCCCCCCCCCCCCCCCCCCCCCCCCCGCCAGCCCGGAAGTGAGCAAAGAATGGGAAACTCACCATTTTGGGGATACAGTCAAGTTCTCAGTGTGCTATGTTTTGAAAAGCCCAGTTCCCCTAGCCTGTTAAAAATGTCAATAATAACGAAAGAATTAGGTTGACTCTTAAAGACAGATTTTCACAATATAAAACCCAGTAAAACGAAAGTGCTTCTCTTGCTCAGGGTGAGCAAGGTCCCTCCCATTCCAGTTTGTGTCATTTCCTGTCTCTCTGTGAATAGTAAAAGAACAAAATAAAGCAACACAAACGTGTGTCTGGCAACACATTAATGCTGTACACAGAAAAAAAAAACTGCCTGCTGGCTCCCAATGGCTGTTCTGACTGCGGTCAACACCCTGTTTTGTTTTGTTTTGTTTTGTTTTTTTTCTTCTTCTTTAAATTACCTCTCCCCTTGAGGGTGTTTCTGTTTGTTTTTTAAAACCTTCCAGAGTTTTCATTTAAGACTCTAAATGAGTGCTGGCAACAGCTACAGATGCGGATAGTGAAAAAGCTAATCATTAAAACAATAAACACTTCTGAGATATGATACAGCACATTCATCGCACCCCTCCCTACTTTATCCCTCGAAAAAGAGAGTTCCACATGAAACCCACACCAATTGGGGCTTTCCTGGGGTGGGGGTGACTCTTGCAGACCATTTCATACTGAGCTGCTTTTTTTTTTAAGTCAAGAAAAATAGCCGTGTAAAAACAGAAGGGTTAAGGAATGTGTTATTCATAAGCATAACGAACACAAAAACCTGTTCTTCCAGAAGAATCAGACTGATTAAATCATTCACTACACAAGCCTCTAGTTATTTATTTTTGTCTTTAGAATTACAGGCCTCAGCTTTGCAATAAAGTGGACCTGATACCCATATTTGGTATGGCAGTTAGGAGTAGTCAAATGAAGAATTATTTCATTTTACAAAAATTTTAGCAACTTAGGAGTATAAATACTATCAGTTAAACATAGCAAACTTGCATTTTTTTTTATTCCTTGGGCTATAGTTTGAAAAAAAATCAAATTATTTTATATAACACTGTTTCTCACAGAGTTCCTTTAAGTGAGGTATGAAAGCCGCAGTGTAAGCTTTATTGGCCTATAAATATGTCATTATAGTTGGACTACATTTATATGCTTGGGATTGTTGTTTAAGCCA